TTACCTGGGCCCAGTTGCCTGTATACCTTCGTATCGGTTTCACGTTGAGGTGCTAACTCGGTCTGTTTGGTAAGTAATCTTTCCGACGGATTTTATTGGGCGTACGTGCAGTGCTTTCGGCATTTCCACCACGTATAGGAATTTTGCACATTATGCCAATGGATGCAGGAATATTGCGCGTACACGTACGTGTTTGCATACAGTATTAGGTAGTATGAAAAAATCTTCTAATTTAGCTCTGCAATACAACGTTTTGCGTGTGGATGGGCTTTTCGATGGTCATGTTGTTTTACGACTGCTGGGGTGGCTCACATGCCGAGCAATGAATTTTATGTAACGGCTAAGAGGTGCTTTTTGTGCTCGTTAGCAACGGCTGTGGAAGAAGTATGTTGCAATTGTCGAGTGAAGTGGCGATGCAAAGGGTGCTGATGAGTTCTCACGTTTTGTCAGGTGGTTCGTGAAAGTTTTACGAGTTTTTTTGTTATTCAGGAACGTATGTATGAGTGGCGCGTGGAAAAAATAACACCGTTATCGACTGTTCTTCAGTGTGCATGAAGATTTTGTGGCCTGATTGCTTTTGTTATGGAATTGTGAGTCTACCAAGGACACAAACGAAAAAAAATTTCCCGGAAAAGTCAGTGAAATCAATCGTTGCCTGCATCAAAGTAAACAACAAAAGTTTTATTGATATTAATCTAATATTTGGACAGAGAGTGATTTACTTTGTACACAGTTCTTTTTTTCTTTCTTTTATGTGACTCACCTGCCATTTAGACGCACTTTTTCTTATGATGCGTGCTACTACCCCTTCCTGCTCGTTCGAGCTATATTATGAATACTTTTTTTTTCTACAGCAAACTCTTTGTTTTCTATAAATAATTTTCCACGCTTGAGAAAAAAAATAGTATAGGCGTGTGCACAATTCTTTTACTGATTTTCAAAGACTTCGAAAGAGACTTTGCTCTGAAAGTGTAATAAATTGTTTGTGTTGGAAAAAATATTTTTCCGCCCTCGGGTGGTTTTGGGAGGCTGGTACTTCCTCGGGCGAAAAAGCAGTTTTCCGGAACTCGTTCGAAAAGTCTCCTTTACGAACCTCGTTACGTCCTTCGCCTTCGGCTCGGGCCGCAAACCTCTCGGTTCGCAAACAGAGACTTTTCAAACTCGTAGGAAAACTACCATTTCATGGATATTTATGAAATCACTCTAAAAAAAAAAAAAAAAATTGCCCGGAAAAAATATAGTTACCAATATTTTTAAAGAACAAAATTTATTTCAATGCTTTTCAGCAGGAATATGAATATTTTGACACTTTTTCTTCGAAACATTTCTTCTTCGTAATCAAAGATGTATCATTTCAGACGCCACAAAAACAACACGCAAGGCCCGCAGTCGTAACGAAAAAATCACCACAAAATGACGGCACCGTTGCGCAAAATACACCCACGCAACTTCATCTGCCAGCGTCAGCAGTAGATAATACGCACGCAGCAACCGGCACGAGACGAAAAATCACGAGCAACCTTTTGACGCTCGCCGAGAGAGTAAGCATTAGCAGAAAAAGGAGGTTAAAAAAAACAACCCCTCCAACCCCTGCTACCTCCAGGGAGTTAATTACTGACATTCAGCCCTCCTCCCGCTCTGGCTTCTGTCTCATTTACCTGACTGTATCCCTCGTCCCGTGGCTCTTGTTTCTCTTCAGTGCTTTTTTTTCCTCTCCCATATTTTTTTCGGGAAAAAGGGGTATCTGGGTCTACAGTTCTTGTTCCCCGCTTAATTTTTCGCACTGCCCAGTTCCCTGCTCTTCCCCAATTTCGAGTCTGCACTTTTACCGTGTTTCGCTTTTTCATTACCCGCGCTGGGGCGAAGGGGCTTCTTGAAACTTCGCCGGAGCTCCACCTAAGCTATGCATTATACAGAGAGGCAAATGCGGGTGCCGAATCTAGCTCTTAAAATTAATTATGCTCCAGCCCCGATGAATGATTCATCCGTTTGACTTCAGTTGATTGATAACACCCCCTTTGGCAGGGTGCAGGCCAAGTTTCGGTTTTGAGGAAATTTATAGGTGAGCTTATAAATAAAGCTATACGGCTCTCGTACTGTTGCATAATACGCGCATGGGGAGGGGGGGTGATTCGTTTATTTGGCGTCGTGCAAGTTTTAATGCGATCAAACTTTGGCGTGTTTGTTATCGAGTTGGCGCGAATTCGCTTACCAAGAGTGAAATATTGCAGGTGGACCCGAAATTACCTTTCCCGCCGACAAAAGATTCAGCCATGACGATTGATCGTAGCCCAATCTCGGGGCACAGCAGTGAATGAGCAGGGAGTTTGCATTGGGACACGTGCTTGGGGTCTAATTGAATATTCAGCGTTGGGAGGTTGATAAAAAAAATGGGGGGAAACGGCACGCGCGTCGGCTCGAGCAGATCAAATTTTAAGCGCGCAGCTTTGCTCGAGCATATTGCCGCTGTTGACCGTAGCAGGGAAAATAGAAGCTTTCAAGGTGCAAGGGGGGTTGTAGGAGGGCGAGAACAGATTGGTCTTTGTGAGTTCGCTGGTTTTATTGTCGGTGTTTGTTATGCGATCGAAAAGTTTTATTCGTTTGGAGCTGGTTGGCGTGTTTTTTTTTTTTTTTTTTTTTTAGCCTGAAGAGCGAGACTCGCAGTTGAATGTGTAATTTGGTTCGAGATCTTGGTAGGTATTGAAATATATGTGTGCGGTAGCAGTGGAAGGTGGTCGAAATTACTCAAATAAAATATTACTTCTTGTTACGTACCACCAAAGAGAGTATACTGGCTCTAGAAATGGGATTTTGATGATTATTCTGGTTATTGTTTATTATTATGTCGTATTATTATTGGGATTATTGAGATCTGTAAGGTATCTGAAATGATCCTCCAGAATATCAAGTTTCATCAAAATCACCTTTTTAAAATCAATATACTTCCCTCGTTAGTATTTTACGTATCTCGAAATACTAGTTTCCTCCCGACTTTAAAGATTTTTTCCAAACCTCTAATGAAACACGGTAAGAAGAGCTCCTCAAAGACTCGCACCCTGCGCATTAAAAAAACCCTTTAATTAATCTTGCGCTTTGATAGAATTTCACCAAGGTGTTCAAGAAACAGTAATAACGCAGAGTACCATCCCCTTACTAGCTGGGCGCCGACAAAGTTATTACGAAAATTTGCGAGAGTCGGATTCCGCTGTGTATTTTTGAGCCTTGGGCGAGAACCTCAAAGCAACCAAGACAACGAACTCCATTAGCAGCCAAGCACAACATTACCAAGATGCTACCTTATTTCCATCATTTGAGCTTAGCTGGTGCGCTGCTCTCGAAAGTGCAGTAGGATGTTGCGAACTTTTTCCCATCAATGCAGCTCATTTCTCTCTCGTTGAATGCACTGGATCATGTAAATTGAATTACAAAGAGGAAATTGCATTTCCTCGCTATTCAGCATCCAACTTTCTTACGCGAATCAGTTGCATTGAAACGTGAAATACAGCAAAATTTACTGACAAATTCGCTCTTAACTTTGAAATAAATCGTAAACGGACTACGTGGTACATGGTTGGGTTACTAAGTGAGCGCAGTTGATTTAATTATTCTTGTAATTACTTATTTTTCTTTTTACGCTTTCCATATAACTAAATTCTACAACCTGATGTACAGCATTAGTTATGACAGCGTAATTTAATATTTTGAACTATTTGCAAAGTTTATGATTAAAGTGTACTTAACTTACGAACAGTTAAAAAAAAAATTTATGCACATAAAAAACAGGTTAGCGAGAGAACGTACCAACTGTGAACATTATTGTGTATAGCCAATATATTGTATTAATTGATTGTTACTTAAAAAGTGAAAATCGATTCAAGTCCATTTACTATGAGTATGTTTTTATTATTTTCGTAAAATAAAATCTGAAAATTATAATGTCATACTTTTTTGATAACCCGCAGACCTTTAATTTCTATGAACTGCTTTATTTCGATACAAAGAAGCAGTATTCCATAAATAAAAACATGCTAATGTAATGGCTTAAATTTAGAGTACCCTCAATTGGTCGAAAAAAGTAAGAGTTGTCGAAAAATTGCTTATTCTTGTCATGTAAAGTACATACAATCATTGTTTACCACAGTAAAGTTAGACATATTGGTTGGATGTATGACAAAATATCCCAAATTAAAATACTACTGTTAAAATTCCAGTTATTTTTTTATTATCGATACTGAATGTACACCGCATAGTATTTTTTTTCAAAGAATTATCATTTTTATTACTGTAATCATAAATGTTTTTAAATATGTGTCTCTTAAAACGTGCCAGAAGTATGGCCTAAAATTTTGTCAATACTAAAATAGTGAATAGCAACAGTGAGAAACGTTAGAAAGAAAGTAATCATTTCAGGGCACCCGCCGGATTTACAGGATGTATACCAGTGTTCGAGCAAATGAAAATCAAAAGGACATCGATGTGAAAGTGAAACGTGTCTTTTGTAAAATTTGTAACCTACCTCGAGGATACCTATGTGAATGTACGTGACTAGTACCCACGCATTTTTAAATATAAAGTCCTACAACTATTAGTATCATCTCTATCACTACCACGTTTAACTAAGACCGAGTTTTTCAGCTGACGCTGCTATAGTATAACCGATAGACGGACTCCACGCAGCTGTGGGCGATTTATCTCCTTGGTCACCGGCGCGGCGGCGCTTCCTTCAGTGATAGAACTCCTTTAAGACTTTCATTCGCGTATTTTTTCCTTTCCTCGAGGTTTTTTTCCTTATCTATTAGTAATTCTGATAAGTTTAGTTTATATTTACACCCAGTGATATCGTTAACGGCTGTTTGTTTGTCACGCGCATTCCATCTGCCGAGCAGCATGTTGAAATCTTGTATGAATACAATTGTGAAAAAATTTCTTCAACAAATTCAACAAAAGGCCCGAATCAACGAAAGACCGTTTCGCAAAAATACGAAAAACTACAGTCTTACCGACGGACTGGTCAGCATGAGAACAGCGGCCCTTAGGTGCTTGAGGTTGAGGGTCTGCGTGTCCTCCAGCTCGTCAGCATCCTCACCGAGCAGTGACGAGGTAATCTGCACCGACGACTGCCTTGGAGGCCTCGGCTGCCTCGTCCTTCTATCCCTCGGGGCACCATCGTCACTGCCGAACCGCGAAAAAGGACATGCCATTGTTGCCCTATCGATGATCCCCAGTCGTTACTTCACTGCGGCATGACTCCGCGCACGTGCTTCCCGTTTGTAATTGTACGGATCGAGCCTATACGTATTTATGCAGCACTGTACTGTCAACTTTTATTTTTCACGCGACTCCCTCGAGCCTGTGTTGTTCGCGGGCCGATCGAAGCGTCGAGTGATTCCTAAACAGCAGTGACACACGTGTACCACTGGTGGTTGCGACGACTCGCTCGGGTGAAACACTGCACCACCGCGATTCTTCCCTTACAATCCGCCGGCCCACCCCTACGTCTGTACGCACTAGGGAGGGGGGGGATTGTAGTCACCCCTCTGTCTTTGTTGGCTTCGATGGGTTTCGATGAGCGGGTCGCCAGCCAACCACCGAGTTGTTGGGCTATCGCGTGCTCGTTGTGTTTACGTTGGTCACTGGTGGTGTGGTGGCGCCTCCATGATGCGGGATGGTCGCGCGTTGCGTCGGGACGCGTAGCGCCATACTGGCCCCGAAGAAGCGGGCGAGAGAGGCGACAGGCAGCGCCGGTGGCTGGCGCGCGAGCGCCCCTGCACGGAGCATGCGGAGAGGAAACGGAGGGAGGAGTGGAGAGAAACGAGGTTGGATCGCGGAAGGGTGTGGGTACCGGAAAAAAGTAGCGCGGATCGGACGGGGGGTGAGGAGAGGGCGTGTGCCAGCTATTAACCTTGCGCGATGCTTCCTTCCCTTGTCTTTGGCTGATGGGCTGGAGATGCTAAGGAAGCGGTAGAAGAGCGGGGCTGCGGGTGTTGCTGCTTGCACGAGATCGAAGACTTGGGGGGATTCTGGAAGGGTTGTTTGGAAAGGAAAGTAGAAGGAGAAGTAAGCCCGAGGGTGAATGTTTATCTTTGAGTGGGCCTTTTTTTCTCCTTTCTCTCTTTCTGCCTTTCTTCCTTTAATGATACTTTGTGACGAATGGTAAAGGGAGGTTGAAAGAAAGTGGCTCGAGAGGCGAAGAACAAGACGTTCTTGAGGAGTTTTTAACGATAGAGGAGCAAAAGGTTGAGGTCAGGAGTAATTCAATCCCAGCTTTGTAGTGAGGGAAAAAAGAAATCCTTTGGCGACGTGAAAGTGCTGGGAAATTGTGAAGAAATACAATTAACAGGGAGGAAACTGATCTTGATGAAACTTTGAAAAATTGTGGTCACTCGGTACCTCGTCGCGAATAAAAATTTCTTCACAAGAACAAGTTATAATTTTATTCGCAGTACTATCGGAGCAATCTTACAGGCCCCCGTACATGAGATGTTGCACCATCTTGGTTCTTTTTCAAAGTGTGTCGATGTTATCGTTTATACAACTTTGCCACAGGGAATGATGGAGTGCCTCGATAGATCTTGAGCCAAAGTTCTGAGCGAGAAGTTTCGACAAAACAAAAGTTGACTCGATTTAGCTCCCCCTCCCCGTTCGGGAGGCAAAAGTTAGGGCTTGTTCACGGCAAACAACAGAACTCAAACGAAAGGCATTAGTTTATCAATTTTAATCGTAACTTTGTTGCTTACCTTATACCGTGTACGATAAGGACACGTTCATGCTCGTTACCCGGAAGTGGATGTAGGCCAATGATAGAAACTCTTACGCAGGATTAATAGAAAGAAAAATACACTGAGGCGTTTTATTTCAAAGTTGTGGTAGACGTATTTTTTGTTTGTTTTTTTTTCAACTTTCTTAATTATACTTTTCAGACAAGTCCGAAAAAAGCATACTATGATAATGGCCGTTAAGCTACACTCATAAATAATGTTATCAATGGGTGTAAACTATAAAACCATATATTATGAACCCCGGAAAATACTTCTTAACGGTAGACCTCGTCGCTTTTAACCGTGATGATACAGCGACTGTTTAATTTAATCCTAAAGTGCTCGTTTCAGTCAACGTTAAAGTGTTTATTATAATTTTTCGTATCATTTGGATTTTTTTTTACAAAAACAGCTGTAATTAAATTTTTAATCACTTTATTTACCAAGTGGTCCCTAACATATACCATTTATTAACGTGTATATATAAATTTCATGTTCAGACAGACGGAAAGTAATACATTATTCACGTAGAACGATTAAATTTTTAGAATTTACAGAAGAAAATCGTGGCTAATTTTTATGTCACTTCATTGTACCAAATTGTTACCATTTTTTTTTCTTTTTATATTTAGTGCACAAGAATCATTATTATACCATAATTACAAGGTACAACTATGTTTAGTGTAGGGCACAAGAATTCATTAAGACAAATAAAACTCTCAGGAATGTGTACAACACTCAAGAAACGCGCCACATAAATGTCTTATTAAAACATTCCTCAGGACTTGCACGTATCATGAAGACGATGAGAGTAGTCCAATAATTTCACGCTATTACGAGTTTTAATATATTCCATCCACGTTAATCACGAGCGCCCACCTCAAAAAGTAATTACTGTCGAATTAAATCAAACGAAAAAGACAGATTTCATTATGTACATCTTATGAGTTACGAAAATCATCGCGAGAGTAAACATGTTGAGGATTTATTTGAATGTGTTTTCAATATTATGACATTCTCGTTATAATAATCCAACGAGACGAGAAAAACAGCTTCACGACTAAAAGCACGTCACAGATAACGAGGGTAAAGTTCAAGCTTGCATGAATTAAATGCTGAGGTGGTCGAAAGAGCCGGAGAACTGAACCCTTGAAATCTTTAGATAGAAAACGAGGAAAGGAACGACTGCAGCAAAAGAGACGGGCTTACTGTAACGACAAAGGAAACAATGAGAATGCAGGATTGAAGGACAAACTCGTTGCTCGACTAGGTAGTTCAGAGAAATTGCAAAAGAACGAGCATCAGAGCTTTAAAAAAAAAATGCTAATCCTTAGCTATCGGCCAAAGTAGTATGCATAGTAGTAGCAATAAATGCTTGCATTTTTTTTTCTGAGCACTAATAGCGAACCTCGCTACGTTGCTTCTCTTTGACTATGTACACCAAAGGGATACATATGTGATATAAATAAATGTCAATGACGCAGTGTTACCTACGACTTCACGAATAGTTGGTTTTACCAACTTTGTTTTCACCCTTGTCATGTGTACTGAGAAGCTTGTGGGACATAATTAATGACCTTTGCGTGTCAAAGAGTGACCTTGAAAAAGCTAAAAAAAATAAAATAAAACTATACAAAATAAAGGAAAACAATAGGAAGGAAGAAACAATCCACAGCTTTTTTTGTTCACACTGCCCTAATTTACAGTGGCGTGTTTATAGTGGCAGGGGGGGTGGAGGGGGCACGTGTCACCTACATTTCGAGGCAAAAGTACCCCGAGGGGATTAGTGAGCGAGAGCGCTCCTGCTCTCCCGACGACGCGCGCATACTTGCTCACTAATTATAACGACGTTCCTTCACTTACGCGAAAGGATGACTGTATATTATATATGTACGTATGGAGCAAGACTCGTGTGGCGATCGCTCTTGGCTAGAGCCTCTCTTTCGTTTTTTTTCCTCCCCGCGGTGGCTGGTGGCCTTCCCTTTTTTTCTCGCGCGCACTTACCTGCCACTTATCCTTCCCTACTCCCCGTGTATCTCGTTTCACTCGTTTTCAGCGCCTCTTTTTCATCCCTCGCTACCCTGCCGTCTGACATCCTCTTTTCGACCATTACTTTTTTTTCCAGAAATCGACTATTATACAAAGCTTTTTATGGTTGTGGAAACGCGATGCTGGACAATTACTTTACTTTGAGTGTGTCTGAACGGCTCTGCTGCACATGTAAGTGGTGGATCATAAGTGTCGTTTTGATCACATTTGGCAAATGAATCTGGACTTGGGATGGATTTTTTTGAACCATTTAAAAATTTCTAGAATTGTACGGACATACTTTATTTTATTGCCTGTTTTTTCCTATGCCGATGGATGTCTAACATGCTTAAAAAGAAATCAACAGTTCAAAATCAATAGTACTTTGGAAGGTAAACATTAGAGTGTAGAAAATCATGGAAGGTTGTTAAGGTACAAATTGATTGTTGATACGGACCATGAAAGTGGTTATCAGGTTGCATATAACAAAAAAATTTGTCTCGAATGATTTTCAAACTTTACTTGTATAAATACTACTTAAATGAAGTAATGGTACCTCATACAGTCAGAATAACATTAGGAGTGACACAATTAATTATTTTTCTGCAAGTGACTTGGAAATTAAGAAGACTGCAATTACTTCATCAAAAAAGTTGCATAGCCAAATGACAAAGTAAGGCAAGATTGTTGGAGCTCAAGAAAAGTATAAATTTCTATGGATACTTTTGTATTACTAAAAACTCGATGCCAAAATAACTAAAAATTGTCTCTACCCTCGCAGAAGTACAAGCCTTGAATTATTTATTAGTCACACGAAACTCCCGTCCACGCCCACGTTCAATTATGTTCGACTCATTTATGTATCCATTGAAAGTTTTGTGCCAGGGGACAACATGGGCCTCTCCATCAGAACTCAATTATTCATACGAGTTCCTGTTTTCAGCAATGGCACGCGAGTTTCAGATCTTTTATTTTTTAGTTCACGCACTTTAACGAGAGGAAGCAGCCAGCAGGCGCGTATCATGGCTTTGAAAAAATCGATCGGGCTAATTAGCCAGCCACTCGATAATTATCGCCATTTTTTTTTTTTTTTTTAAAGCCAGTTATCTCCAATTAATCCATTAATTAATTAATTAACCCCAGCAATTTTACCGGGCGATCATTAGGCTTTATGCAATCTAACTCATGAATACAGTGGAGTACTCGAAACATTTAAAGTTATAATTTACTGATAAAATTTTGCTGTCACCTACCATCAATTTAATTGTATAAAATATTTACTCATCAAATTTATCTGTAGTTGAAAAACGTTACATGAAGAACCTTTCATTTATTAGCCTTTTCAAGAAGACTCTACTTATTCCAATAAATAACTTTACATTTATTTATATAATTCTACCTCACTGTTTTGCACCTCAATACTAAATGTTTACACATGATGTACTGTAAGCTATACGAGCAGAACTGTACAAAATCAAACTAGAAACTCCTGCCTATGCAATGGAAGTATTTATCTTGTACTGTATTTAGTTTGTCCGAAATTGATATTTTAACTTTTTACTCATTAAATATTTTTAAAAAGTATCCACAGTGAATCACCAATCATTCCATTGTTAGGAAACGTATATTTTATATATTAGTGTAAAATTCAAATGTAAAAAGACATAGGACATTCTCAACAACAATCTTTAACATCGAACATTACTGTACAAAAAAAAGTTACATAAAGTATAAGTTCAACATATTTGTGAATTCTTTATTTTTCGTGGTGATACAATTCAATTGTTAGTTATTCAGGCTGAATTAATAATTCCTTGATCCCATCTTTCATAAAGCACGTTCTGTTTCTGTCTTCCTGATATCGCTCAAAATCTTTCAAAATG